CCAGCTTCCATTTTTACTGGATTGAGATATAGACCTCTAGTTTGCGTTGTTAGTTTTATTTTATCACGACCTTCAAAATGAGGGGTCACTCGATGGGGCTTAACTTTTGAAATTTTTGATTTTCCCCCAAAATCCCCCATTTTGGGGATGTACACCAAGTAGCAATTAGGCTCAAAAAGTACATCATAACATGCCATAAAGGTGTGTAGAGTTTATTTTTCCTAGTGTGAGCCGTTTCAAAATTTACAGGGGGTCTCCAGACTTGAAAAACTGTAAGTTAAATTTAACTTCTGAGAATTTCAAATGGCTGCCATTTTGAACTGGAATAAGATAGAGACCTCTAATTTGCGTTGTTGGTTTTCTCTTACCAGGACCTTCAAAATGATGGGTCAATTGATGGGTCTTACCTTTTGAAATTCCTGAGTTTCCCCCAAAATCCCCCATTTTTAGGATGTATACCAAGTAGTGGTTATGCCCAAAAAGTACTTCATAACATGCCATAAAGGTGTGCCGAGTTTTGTTTTTCTAGTATGGGCCGTTAAAAAATTAACAGGGGGTCTCCAGACTTTTTACTAACCCTGTACATATAGTCAATGGTAGGAACAGAAAGTGACACATTGGAAAAGCGACTTTAGCATCATCCGTAAACATCTGTTACAATCACCCACTGCAGTGGTGATTTTTTACTTAACACTTTACACAACCGCCATTGAAGCGCCGTCAATGACTGGAAACCTTGTTTCTAAGCTATTGGTGACGATCATTAATAAATTTAAGTTTCCCAGCCGTATGCAACACTGATTCAAGGTCTTCTTTCTGGTTACCAAAACTCAAGAACAATTTTATACACAAAGAATCTCTGATTCCTGACCTGGATGATGCCTAGTTATTTCATTTCATTTACATTGCACTTGCGATTAATTAAATCCGTTATGTAAGTAAAACGTTTTTAATCTCACTTGGTTGGGATTTGCTTCCAAAACGTGATCGAAAATGGTTGCGGTATTTGTAAACATCATATTTGTAAACATATCAGTGACAGCTAGAAAAAATAATCTTGATCTGAACAGCTGTTTGTTATTTTATAGATGATTTATCTTCTATATACATAAAATTAGAGTTTTGTCTGTACATTGCTCAGAATTATATATTTTAAGGTTATTTTTACGTTTTATACATTAAAGAAGCTGAAACAAGTCTTATCTCTATTTCTGTCTGTCTGTCTGTCTGTCTACTGTCTGTCTGTAACACTCAGGATGGCATTTTACGCAATATTCTCCAGGAAAACGAGAGTACCTCTCAAAATCCAAGTCATTTTAATGTGTTCACTGGATTGGCAAGAGTGTCTTTAACGATTAAAATATGATCGTCCGTAGTTTTATTTACAAAGTAGTGATGCCAAATTTTAATGGCTAAAGACACTCTCGCCAATCCAGTGAATACATTAAAATGACTTGGATCTTGATAGGTACTCTCGTTTTCCTGGATAAGATGGCGTAAAATTCCATCTTGAGTGTTATAGACAGACAGACAACATTTTTCCAATAACATATATTTTTCCACACCTCAAAATTTTCTTAGCCCATTAAACTGTTTAAAAACACTTATATCTCGAAAACGGCTTGAGATATGGCAACCTGTCTAAATTCTGGCACACTACGTGGGTGTCAACTTTTGATTATAAAATATATTACAACATAAAATAATAAAAAAATAACATTATTTTATATGGGTACAAATAACAGTTGCCAAGAAAATGTTCAAAGTCCAGACTTGTTGACACTTTTTCACACCTCAAAATTGCAAATATAATGGAAATTACAAGTCACAACTTTTAACCTGTAGTCTTGTAGTGCGGTGTTTATTATGAAACAGGTACCTGACCTGTTCAACTAAATATCCTCATTTCTCAGCTGTTTGTAATGGGATCGTTTAAAACTTGGTGGCGTATGATAGGGTATTTTAAATGCTAAATAAAAGTCTCCATGGCTTTTTTTCATAAAATCAGCAGGTTTTTTGTAATTAAAGATATAAAGTTTAAAATACCCGTATTTTGAAACAGAAACATATTTTCAATGATTATTTTTTCTTAAATACATTACAACGTATTAAAACTGTATACCAAGTTTCATAATCATATCTTAAATATCTTCAAGAAGAACTGGTAATATTGGAATTAATATAAATTTGAAATAAAAACTTCACCAATAAATTCAGAAATATTGGTGAAGTTTTTATTTCAAATTTATATCTTAAATAAGACATAAGACATAAGACATAAGACATGTTTATTTCCAGTAGACATATTACAAATGTATTGGAAGAGTCAAACATTTTTCATGCAGAGCAGTTGTCAAATTAAGAAGTAAGTTACAAAGTGTACTTTGAAGTCTACGAAAAAAGAAAATTGCATTTTAAGTTATATAATTGGTCTTAAACTAATATCACAGAGTTTATCACTATTGAGAAGTAAAAACAACCATTTGAAAGTTAGCAAAACATTACAAAATTAGACAGGTTGTTTGTTAGAATAGTTTTCGATCCCCCACCCCTACCCTGTTAAAGGGGTTAAAAAATATTGTTGATGTAAAAAAGTTGTGGAACCTATGTTAACAATTAAATCGACAAACAGAATATTTCTATCATTTCGGTTTTACAAATACAGATTTGTTTTTATATTTTTGAAATTGGTGCTTTTTCACATACATTAAATCGCATTTTGAAATACCTGTCATTTTGGCTAGGGGTGAGATATCCACCAAGGGTTTGCGTCATTATGTTTCTTTTGATAAACCCTTCAAAATGAGGGGTCACTCAAAAGGGGTTGCTATTTGAAAACAATAAGTCACCCCCACCCCCGCCTACCCTGTTAGGGGGTTAAAAATATTTTTGATGCAAAAAAAACGGAACCTTTGTTAACATTCAATGCCACAAACATAATATTTTAATCTATTTCGGTTTAAAAAATACAGATCCATTTCAAGACTTTATTTACAAACTTTATATGAATTTGAACGGTTGGTGATTTTTGACTCTAGGGACCTCAAAACGAAAAATAAATCGGTCCCAAGTCCAGGTCTTACGATAAGTACTACGGTAATAGCTTATTCTATGTATGGGGAATTCGCTAAAACACAGCAATTTTGAAACAGGATCACATTTTTTAATGATTATTTTTCCTTAAATACATTATGACGTATTACAACTGTATACCAAGTTTCATAAAGATATCTTAAATAGTTTTCGAGAAATATCTCATTAAAATATTTCTTTCATTCAAATTTAAATAGAATCCCACGGCGCCACTCGAGGAGGAAACGCTTCGCGTCTTCCGCTACAGTGGCGTGGCAATACAGCCGCATCATGAAACAGCGCCTAGCGCAGATCCAGCTGACCGTCTGCATTAAAGTATTATATTGTCTGTGGTTTTCACCATCAACTATGGTTTATTTATTGATTGTGTCTAATATTGTCTTTTTCTGGATCATCTGGCCCTTTTTGAATGCCAAATGCATCCCTATAGTCTCAAATATGTAGGATTAAAGGATTTCTACTGTGATTATATTGCAGGATTGTTACATGTCTAACTCTTTAATTTGGTCAAAGAATGTGTTTGTGTTTTTGAAGTATGATATGAATGTATTTGTGCAGGTTAAGGTTTAATGTATAAATCAATAATTCGTACAAATAAATCATATACCAATTATTACACCTATGAAAGAATAATATTTTTTCTGTTTTGAATGAAGCAATTTAGAAAACATAAAAATAAACGTTCTTGTGATAGCCAAAGATCAACTGATATTTAGAAAACTAGCATGTCTTGATTTTTGGATTATTTTTGCAAACAAGTGAGTAGAACAGTTAACACTCTTATGTTGAATTTTACAAGTTTAGGCCTATCACTTAACACTAGCAATTTTGAAAATTATACTGGGCATTTTACAACACAAATTTTAATCCATCCAAGGTTTTAGTGTCATGTGTCTGATCCCTTCTTTTTGTAAAGCAGTACCCAAACGTAACAAGCTCACCCTTGTAAAGAAAAATAAGAAAAATACTCTACAACAAACACATTCAAATATAAATATTTAAGTATGTTTATTTGTAAAGAAAAATAAAAAGGCTCTGACTTCTACTTTTATATATTTAAATATTATATTTAAATATATTTACTCCTTGCAATGCTCTCAAAGTGAATTCTTTACAAATCTTGGTTGCCCCTAGGTTGGAAGAACTTGGAAAATAATAATATAAGACAGAGCTTTGGCAGTGGAAGCTTGGTGTTAAAAAATATTTAAGTGGGCCCTGTAAAATAAATATTATCCCCAGAAGTCCTTATGGGACGTCCCTGGTACTGTTTGAAGTTCTTCAATTTTCAAATGGCGGCTCGTGTTGGTCGGTAAAAACGAACTTTTGACACTTGTTTCGCAAAAAAACTGATTTTGTTTTCCACAATTATATCCCTTCGGGATATAGGCTAAATGATATTAAGAAAATAAAGATTTTATTCAACCAACACCGCAAAATGAATTTAATTTGCACGATACGAAACTTTTCCGACTAGCTACAAGGAAGGCAAAGGACAGACAGACTCGTTGCTGGCGGCTGGGGCCCTACCCCTTCCACTTGTGTGGTTAGATAGCATTGTGGGTACCTTATTGTCTGATCAGCTGACTATTTGTAGTGTCTGCTACATTAATTCTTTGTATTATACGACGAATCGGTGCACCCACAAACTAAACTAGCTTCCCTGAAATCTAGATTACTACAATATGGCAGGCTTAACAAATGATATTCGTATGGTCGCCATGTCAGTTAAAAGTACTGTACTAAGGTATTAACAACAAGTTTTTTAAATAATCAAATAAATTACGTTTATAAATGTCCAGTAGTGGATATACAAGCTTTAAAATTTAAATTATAAGAAGGAATACCCTTAAGTAATTTTGACTGATGCCACTTCACCATTAAGTTTTGAAGTGTCATTGTGTTTAAAGGCTACCTGAAGCGACTAGGGGCAGACATGGTTCTAGACATGACTGTAGCAGATGATCTGTCCTTGACTGAGGCTCAGCTGGAGTTTGTTGAGAGATTCCGTGCCAAAGAGGCGGGCAACAAACAGGCACTACCAATGTTGGCCTCCTCCTGTCCAGGTTAGTCAGCATATCCATCATATCTCATACCCATCTATCCAGGTGCTGAAATATCCATACATAAATCCCAAAGTACCCATGAACTTTTGAGAAAACTACAAGTCACACCCCCACAAACCATATACTTAAAATGTTCGTCATGACGAGAAACCTTGCGCCAAACTATCCATTATTTCATAAATTGCCCTTTAAGGTCGTAATCCGTTTCTAAAGGGGACTTTCCATATACCTAATGTTAAAAATACCTCACCTTTTCTTACTTGTTTGTTATTCTTTCAATGTATAAAATCAGTTGTGAGTATTTGTTTGTATTACTGTATTCTGTTTTGTTTATTTCAGCTTAAATACTTACCAATCAATAGTTATACTAGGTGTACGCTTATTCTTCCCGTATTGGGACAAAACGAAGACAGTGAAAAAGGCTGCACTGGTAAAGGCAACCAGAATACACAGTAGTACCCTAGTTGTTGCTGCACATAAAAAAATATTATACTGGATCTAGCAGGATCTAGGCATGGAGTAGTATTTTTTCTGTGGCATGGATCAGCATGGATGCTCAGTGTCTTGGAGAGTAGATCATTTCGAGAATGCTAAAGGTCTGGTGTGGTTTGGTGCAATAGGTGTGGTGAATATCTGGCCCAAACTCATATGATGAGTAAATAATAATCTAGGAGATAGTCAATATCCAGAGAATTTTATTTGACGCTAATGATTTTCAACTTCTTCTTGGTGGGATTTAACATTATCTTTGGTCAAGTCTTAGCTGAGAAATCATCAAGAGCCTTAGGCAAGGACTCAACATCATGGAGGGAAGCAACTTCCACAAACAGTTTTATATCATCAGCGAACTAAATAAAAGGGATTTTGATAACTCTCTTGATGTATTTGAAGAATATGTAGTACTGAAAATATCTGAAATTTTGTTGGATGTTTTCATGATAAATATGCTACAAATCCATATTCACACCACAAAACCCATGAAAACCAGTTCACATAATCTAATCAAGACAGTTAGTAAAACTCAACCTGTTGAGAGAGTGTTTATTGTATTAAACCAAATTACAATAATAGTTATCACACATCCTTGTCAACTCCTCCTTATCCTCAGTCAAATAAGGACTCAAAACTATGGTACATTCATGATATTGGCAATTTTATCTCTAACCCTTTATCAAACAATAAATTATGTCAATTAGTATTTGTTTGTTTTTACTTTTAGCTAGGGTATTTTAAAAAGTTTCTGTTAGTAGGAATTAGGAGGTTTTCAGAGTAAACAAATCTAAAAACACTCATATTGTGCACCACAGCCCTCTAAGAAAGCCTGTCACCATTGGTGGCCAGAATGCACCCACTTTTCATGCTGGATAAGTGTTTACCGACTCTCTTACATTAAATCTTATCAAAATTGGAGTTTGATCAATAGTAGAGGGTTAAAATTTCATCGGGTACAAATTTTACCTATAGCCTACCTCCATGACCCTTCATCGGGGAATAAAAAATTCTATATACTACTTGGTTTATTTTTCAAGCTATTTTTACCACATGCGCTAAACCCATAGAATTTTGAGGTTTTCAGAGTATAAAATGGCAAAAAAAAATTTATTTTACGCCATTCAACCCTCGGTAAAGTCTGTTTTTTCATAGTCTGGCCAGAATGACTTATTACACTCATCATACTATAGATATGTGTTTACTCTCTTTCATCCAGTCATATCAAAAGTGGTCACATTAAATATCATGGGATACTATTTTTTACCGATACCTTTGGACTCTTTTGCATTATGTGTCCGCTCTTTATTGTGTATTATAAATGGAAAAATTAACTTAATGGGGTGTCTCCCGTATTACTACAAATCACATCAATAGTGGAGGATTAAACTGCACTGTAGAACTATATGGGATAAGATCCCCATATTGATGCATTATGTGTAAACTTTCATACACTAAATATTTGTTTGTTTTTTACGCTCTTTAAAAAGTTTTGATTAACAAAAATGAATTTGGATGTTTTAAAAATAAAATACCACAGGCAGCAAATCTGCATAACAAACTAATTTACAATTGAAGTCAGATTCATTTTCACTTGAAAGGTGAACACACACCGGAGCGGTAGCGGTGCAATATTCGCGCGGTGAATTAGTATATTGGAAGTAAATGCAAGCGGAATGGAGCGGTAGCGGTTTACTGCCCGTACAAACCACACTGCTGAGATGCAAAATGTTCCATTTGCAGCATGTTCCAGCGGTGCCGGTGCGACGAGCCTGGCATTTGTGTTTCTTCTCAATTTTAAGTAAAGGCATCAATGTATGGAATTCGCCATGCCTGAAATTGCCTTTCTGAAATTGCCTTTTGTTGATGTCATATACACACTTCCTATTTTTGCGATCGTTGTCTTCAGCTACAGCAAACAATAGCAAAATTTCTTCCTCATCGTCTGATGTAAACATATTTCTAACTAACAACCCAACTAACTTGTTGACTGCACACTCATAAATGAGGACAAAAAATTACTGTACTCTGCTGTCATCGTTGCAATGCGGAATCGTTCTGGTGTACAAGCCCCAGCTATACCGCCACCGCTCCGGTTTGTGCAGGCCTTCAATTATTTAAATAACAATAGGTTCAACGACTACCTAGGTTTGCTGCTACAGGGAGGACAGCTTAGTAAAATGTGTTTTTTAGTAAAACATTAATAGCTTAGTATACAAAAAGATTATGTTTCCATCTAATATATCCATAAATAATCAAACCACAACAGTTTACTAATTCTCCATAAGAATATACCAGGAATTTTTAATTTACAATTCTTAGAATCGCCAATAACCATAGGCCTACACAAACACTTCATTATAAGATGTTTTAGAGATAAATGGGGAAAACTGTTTATGATAAAAGGTTCTGTAGGCCCTTTTTTATGCACAGTGGTAAGGGTTGACTTAGCCTATCATTATCATTGATAAGTCAATGATAATAAAGTGTTGTTGTATGCCTTATGATTACGAAGATAATTCTAAAAATTGTAAATTTAAAATTCTCATGTTATTTACAGTATTTGGAAAATAAATAAACTGTTGTAGTTTGCTTCTTTATGGATATATTTTAATACAATTTGGAAATTTTGTTTATTTCATAATTCATACTAAACTAACTAACAACATAAATTTAATTATTTCTCGGATTTATGATATTTTATTTCAACGCTGCAGAGCAGCATGAGTCCTCTAGTGTTGTTTGAATGGGAACTGAATCTGACAATTTTAAGGGTATATTTTAGTAGAAATTCAGCCAGGTAAATGGAAATTAGCTTAGTCTGCAAGTTTGCTGCAGCAGTGGTATTTATATCTACCATGGTAGGGTAAGTAAGTGCTGCAAACATTAATCTGTTATGTACTCACTACCTAATACTCGGTTGAAATTGACTCTTATTTGATTGTGGTTACCAACCACCCTCCTGTTCAAACTAAAACGTCCAAAGCCGCTGCCAGTTGCACGACGTCCAATACTGTAGCTCAGTGCTGTCGCAAGACGTCTAGAGCTTATGCTTATGGAGCTAGGTTAGGTTAGGTTAGTCTGTACTACAGTCGGTAAAAAAGTATTCACAGTGTGCAGGTGCTCTGGACGTTGTGGGACAGCGCTGAGCTATTGGACGTCACAAATGAAATAATGAAATGAAATAATGAGTTTATTCCTTCAAAACAAATAAATACAAAATAATACAATCACTTGGAACTACGTTGCCACATTATCCAGTAATCGTGACAAACGTAAACAAAACTGGCAGCGTACATTTTGAAGAGTGTTAAGTGTGCTGTTTCTCTACAACCAATCTCATGACGTCCAGAGCTTGTAGAAGGACTACAGTATGTTGATTACAGTTCCTGTAGTACTTTTGGCCATGATGAGATTTGGACGTCATGCAACAGTCAAATATTTTATAGGCTATTGGACCTTGTGAGATAAATCAAGAATTTTATTTCGGATATTATGAAACTGACTTATATTATTCTACAAAGTGACTCTTGTATGTCATGAAATGCATTCTTATTTATACTTGATAGCAGTGGCGGATTCAGAGGGGGGGAGAAGGGGCGACCGCCCCCCCCCCTCAGACATACATACTGTATATATTTTCTACTGCATGTTATACAGTAGTGCATACACATTGCATAAAATAATTTGTCACACTAACTTTGGACAAAGAAATGGTTGGTATAAAACTGCCGTTTTGGAGACTTAGTTTACACAAATTTTTCGGGGGGGGGGGGGGTACCCCCAAACCCCCCCTCAGTTCGCCCCCCCCCCCTTGTGACAGTTCTAGATCTGCCACTGCTCTTTTTAGCAAGTCTGTCCACAGTATTGTGGGTAATTTCCTGTTAAAGGGAACATTCATTATTATCGATGATTTTTTTCTCAAAATATCGATATTAACAAATTGAAACATATCAGCTGACAACTACGATAAATAAATATTGTTCAGAATCAACAAACAAAAATTTTAAAATTATTGAAATAAAACTGTTCTAAACTAACCTGACAGAACTAACCAAACTTGCTATAACATTTAAAAACTCCATTTAATATTCTCCACTCGCCTTTTGTGTTATCAAACGGAATTTTTAAATGGTACAGCAAGTTTGGTTGGTTATGTTAGGTTAGCTTAGAACAGATTCATTTCTTTCCATATAATGGACTATATTTTAGCCTAAATATCAGCTGTCAATTTGTAATGTATAACTTAGTAGGTAAAGGGAAAAAATTGATATATCGAAAAAAATCATCAATAATAATGAATGTTCCCTTTAACAGGAAAGTACTGTATTGTGTTACCATGTTAGCCTACCTCTGAGTAATGATGTGCAATCCTGGTCAGTGTGTCATTATTGCGTAGCGATATGTATTGGAACGGGATGTATCAATACCTAATCGTATCCAATCCTCGTGCATATATTTTTACGTGTAGGCTATCAGATGAAATACTGTATCGGTTATTTATAATTTCT